CGCCGGCCAGACGTGGCTTTTCGCCAGCCGTCGAACGGTGTTTATTCCATCAGCCTGCGATTAAGTTTTTGATGACATGTTTTTTATCCATGATTTGCCGATACGATACTATATAACAGGACTTCGTACAGTACTTCGTTAACGGACAATACAATTAAGTTACGGTAGTCAGTCGGTCGGTCGGTCGGTACTGACACTACTTTGGTTTGACTGCGAGTACGAATCGCGATGGTTGAAAAAGGAGGGAAATCGGTTGGGGTCAACAGAACAACCAGAAACGTCGAACCATCGTTTTCCGTTGTGCACTGTACTCGATTCGTACTTTCCCTGTACTCCATTGTACTGTTGGCACCTGCGGAGTAACGAGTAAAAGCATGGGCTGCTCGTTTTACTCAGCGCTTCAGTGGTCGTCGTCAAGATACGTACCTTGTGACCGCTAATTTTCTGTCTTCGATGTAGGACACTTCGGCGTAAAAAACTAGTGATTCAAACTTACTTAGATACACGACTCAGTAACGAACGCCTGCGGTGCCATGCTGTGCCTAAACGGTAGCAAACCCTCTCCCCCTCTTTTTGTGGAATCTCTTTCGACCGTGGAAAGTTCGCCGCAATGGGGAGGTGCTGCGAAAATTGTTTCTGTATTTAAAATGGTGCAAAGACTGAAGGAGACAACGCGATGCAAGACTTAATCCGAAGAACGAATCAGACGTCTGGATTGTCTATCGGTGCTCTGACCAAATATTTACTTGCGAAAGTACAATCACTAAGCAATGCCGATACCTGCGGCGACGAGTCTGCATTTGCCTTCATTTGTTGCATTGTTCGACTTTTAAATTGCATTTGACTCAACCTTTCTTGTTGCTGGTTTCCCAGGCGTTGTGGTGGGGGGGGGCACCATTAATATGGTTCCTCTAGCCAACAGCAAGGACACGTGGTCACCTGTTTAAATGGCTCTTTGATAATTTCGATGGGCCGTCACAAATCCGGTCTTAAAAATTATGCGGTATCGAATGACAGGCAACATGTTAACGAATATCTCGAAAAATATAGGTTGAATTATTTGTCCGGAAAGTCAAATTCAAAACGTACTAATTTAACATTACTATACATTTATATCAAAGGATTTTTGTCGCATTCAGTGAATACATCTGGTAATCTTGTGAAACATTCGTGTAAATTTCCCGGAAGTGTTTATTGACGAGTTTTATTACGTAACAAGGCTTGGCCATATACGAGTCACCGACCATATCCATCATGCGATGAGGTCCATTGTATTCCCTTAGTTACGTGCCTCTAATCTTTTTTACGAGATTTTTCATCGGCCTGTTTGTTACGAGTTTATGATACTCCTACGTTGACAATACCCGAACTTCGTTCTCCTGTCCTCGTCTGATTTTACTTACCTGGATGTTGTTTCTTTCGTGAATGTAGGTTTTGGGTTGGCTTTGAATGTATTTTCCAGGTAATAGTGTATTTTCCATAAAGCGAATTAGATTTTTAGAAGCAGAGTTTCGTTGTGTGACATCATTTGGCATCCTCATGGTATGGTATAGCTTACAATCTAATTATGCTTGGTAATTGT